ACTTTGATTTACTTTGTACGAGTTGTGATGTACAAATAAACTTGACTTTTATTGTAATGTGATGCTCTTCAGGTTATAGTGGTGGAATTATCTTCAGTAAATCTGTAGTAAAAAGTTCATCTGTGATCAGGGCGGTCGCAGTAACTGCAGTATTGTATGTGCAGTATTGTAATACTGTAGTATGATGGATCACAGCACACGACGACTCAGGTCACTGCAGCATTTTACATTTTAATAAGGACTCCGTGCACACGCCCAGAACTTTACTATTCTACTGTGAACTAAGTCATGTGTATGTGGCTCTGAGCAAAAGTCAAATACTGGGACCCAAACACACACACGTCCTGTGAGTGTCTTACACACACTCACACACTCACACACTCACACACTCACACACTCACAGGACACCGTGCACACAGAAGCTTTTACTGCAGTTTTGGACTAAAGCACCTGGATCATGGAGTGAGGAGCACTCTGGATGTCTCCTCACACAGTGTGTATGTGCTCGCAGTGTGTATGTGCTCACAGTGTGTATGTGCTCGCAGTGTGTATGTGCTCGCAGTGTGTATGTGCTCGCAGTGTGTATGTGCTCACAGTGTGTATGTGCTCGCAGTGTGTATGTGCTCACAGTGTGTATGTGCTCACAGTGTGTATGTGCTCACAGTGTGTATGTGCTCACAGTGTGTATGTGCTCTGGACGTCTCGGTTCAGGTGAGGAGTTTTGTTTTTGCTCTATGTTTGTGTGTCTGATCTGTGTCTCGTTCACACTGGAGAATTGTTTGTACAGTTGCGTAGCTTTAAAACTTTTCACAACCCGTCTGCTCCTCACAAGACACTGAGTGTCTTTTTCTCATCTCTGTTTTCATTTGATGATAATTGCAGAAGGACTAAAGTTGTCCTCTTTGTGCCTGTGCCTTGTTTGTTGATCAGAGCGACAGAATCAGTTTCAGATGAGCCTGTGACGGGACCTGACTCACCTGCGCTCACTTTATCTCTTCTCATTGATTTATCCGACCTGTAACAGGTCAGATGCAGGTGCACACACACTGGTGTGTGTAGGGGTGAGGTGAGTGTGTGTGTGACTGTGTGAATGGTTCCTCTTTGTAAAGTGTTTGAGTGCCTTGAAGGTGGAGAAGCGCTGCATAAAGATGTGATCATTTAATCACCTTGTCCCTCCTCCAGCTTCACTGGGGACATTCATTTAGATTCATTGGGGACATTTAAGGTGCACACAGTGTGCACAGGCGCCCCCTGCAGGCGTCTCTGTGGGGGTTTACTGTGGGTGTTCAGCAAGAGGCTCCAACCTTTTTCCTCTGGTGAGCAGAGCAACCTGCAACAAAACAAAAATACCAAAGAGCTGCTTATTTTAACAACTGTGAGAAATGTAGTAAATATAAGAGCCACAGCCTCAGACTGGGACAGTTAGACGCCTGTAAAATATAAACTATTCTTCATTTATTACAGCAAAACTGAGCATTAAAATTATAGATTTACAATGACAATGAATAAAATTGTACTTATTCAGCACAACACATAGAACTGTGTGGAAGGGGGTGGAGAGCTGCTGGTTTGTCCAGAGCCACAGGTTGGAGACTCGTCATGTTCGACTTTTCACCCGAGTCTCACTGAAGAATCAGAATAAAAGTGTAAATCCTCAAAACTCGTCTGTAAAATACATCAGTCTGTTACTGTTTAGTGTCACTCAGGACTGACTCCGGTTTTATATCGACGTGTTTCAAGTACATCACCAGTGTAAATGTTTTATTATGGATTTATGTGCTACACACACACACACACACACACACACACACACACACACACACACACACACACACACACACACACACACACACACACACACACACACACACACACACACACACACACACACACACACACACACATACAACACAGACACTACACACAACGCACACTACACACACACACTACATACACTGCACACACAACACACACAACGGACACATCACACTACACATACCGCACACACCGCATACAACACACAGTTGCATCAGTTGTGTTCAGTTGTGTTCAGTTGCGTTTAGTTCCATTTCGTTCCGTTGCGTTTTGTTCTGTTGCACATTGTTCAGTTGTGTTCAGTTGCATGTTTGTTGCATTTCGTTGTGTTCAGTTGCGTTTCATTCCGTTGCGTTTCGTTCATTGTTTTGTTTGTGTTCAGTTGCGTTTCATTCCATTGCGTTTCGTTTCTGTTGTGTTCTGTTGCGTTTCGTTTTTCGTTGTGTTCAGTTGCGTTCTGTTGCATTTCGTTGTGTTCAGTTGCGTTTCATTCCGTTGCGTTTCATTTCGTTTGTTCATTGCGTTTCGTTGTTTCGTTTTGTTGCGTTCGTTGTTGTTCAGTTCATTTCGTTTGTTTCGTTGCGTTCTGTTGCTTTTCGTTGTGTTCAGTTGCGTTTCATTCCGTTGCGTTTCATTCCATTGCGTTTCGTTCTGTTGCGTTTCGTCGCATTTCGTTCCGTTGTGTTTCGTTGCGTTCAGTTGTGTTCTGTTGCGTTTCATTCCGTTGTGTTCAGTTGTGTTCAGTTGCATTTCATTCCGTTGTGTTTCGTTGCGTTGTTGTTCTGTTGCGTTTCATTCAGTTGTGTTCTGTTGCGTTCAGTTGTGTTCTGTTGCGTTCGTTGTGTTTTGTTGTGTTCAGTTGCGTTCCAGTTTTTTTTCCTTTTCGTTGCGTTTCGTTTGTTTCAGTTGCATTGTTCATTTTCGTTTTGTTCGTTCATTGCATTTCTTCGTTGCGTTTCATTGCATTTCGTTCCGTTGTGTTTCGTTGCGTTCTGTTGTGTTTCTGTTGTGTTCAGTTGCGTTTTGTTGCGTTCCGTTGCATTTCATTCCATTTCGTTCCGTCGCGTTCAGTCGTCCTCTCGTGCACATCCTTCTCGTTTCTCATTAAATCTCTCACATCACGTCATTTTCTTTCTTTCTTTCTTCTCTCTCTTTTCTTTCTCTTGATCCAGAGTAAATCATGGAACGTTGTCACGGTGAGCGGACTCGCCTCTCCGCAGATCCGACCCGTCACTTGGGGCTTGACGAATGAATGAATGAATGAAGAAACATGCGGCTGTAAAACCCGGAGGACAGAGAGACAAACGTTTGAGGTTCGAGCTCCTCGTCCCAGAGCTGCACGTGCACTCAGGGGGACTCCTCCGTTCATCTCAGTTTCCCTCTCTCTCTCTCTCTCTCTCTCCTCTTCTCTTCTCTCTCTCTTCCCTCCCTCGCTCCGTCTTCCTCTCTCTGCATCTCTCACTTCCTTTTTCTTACCTCCTTCTCCCCTTTATCTTCTCTCTTCCTCCCTCTCTGTGTCCTCAACTCCCTCCTCTCTTCCCCTTTTCTCTCTCCTCTCCTCCTTCTCTCTCTCCTCTCTCTCTCTCTCCTCCTTCTCTCTCTCTCTCTCTTATTGGCTGTAGGTTTTCTGTCTGTTTTCTCAGTCCTGTCACGTAGCAGCAGCAGCAGCAGCAGCAGCAGCAGCTCGCCCCCGCACTCACACACACACACACACACACACACACACACACACACACAAGGAGAGAGGGAACGAGAAAGGAGGGAGAGAGAGAGAAGAGGGGTTCAGAGTGAAAAGGGTGTGGACGAATTGGAGAGAGAAAGAGAGAGAGAAGAGGGGAGAGAGAAAGAGGAGACTAAGATGATGAGAGAGAGAGAGGACTAGAGAGCGAAGGAGGAAAGAAAGATAGAGAGAGGAGGAGAGTGAGAAGAGGGGGGAGAGAGAGAGAGAGTGAGAGATAGTGGAGGAGAGAGAGAGGAAGAGACAAAGAGGAGTAGAGACAGAGAGAGGAGGGAGAGAGAAAGAGAGAGATGGAAAGAGAAAGAATGAGAGAGGGGAAAAAGAGTGAGAGGAGGAGAGAGAAAGAGGAGAATAAGATGATGAGAGAGAGAGAGGACTAGAGAGCGAAGGAGGAAAGAAAGATAGAGAGGAGAGAGAGGAGGAGAGTGAGAAGAGGGGGGAGAGAGAGAGAGAGTGAGAGATAGTGGAGGACAAGAAAGAGAAGGAGGAGAGAGAGAGAGGAAGAGACAAAGAGGAGTAGAGAAAGAGAGAGGAGAGAGAGAGATGGAAAGAGAAAGAATGAGAGAGGGGAAAAAGAGTGAGAGGAGAGAGATAGGAGGAAGAGAGAAAGAGCGGAGAGTGAGAAGAGCAGGGAGAGAGAGGAGAAGAGAAAAGAGGGGAGAGAGATAGAGAGGAGAGAGAGAGAGAAGATTGGCAGAAGAAAGAGAGGAGAGGGAGAGAGGAGAAGAGAGAGAAAGTGGACTAGAGAGAGAGAGAAGGAGATAGAGAGGAGGAGAGTGAGAACAGGAGAGGAGAGAAAGAGAGAGAGAGAGGAGAAGAAAGAAAAGACTACAGAGAGGAAGCAAGAGAGAGAGGAAAAGAGAGGAGGAGCTAGAGGAGAGTGAGAGGAGGGAGAGAGAAAGAGAAGAGGGAGAGAGGAGAAGAGTGAGAGGACGAGAGAGAGGATGAGAGAGAAGAGGAGAGAGAGAAGAGAGGAGAGTGAGAAGATGAGAGAGTGAGAGGAGGAGGAGGAAGAGAGAGAGCGAAGGAGGAAAGAAAGATAGAGAGGAGAGCGAGGGCTGGAGAGAGAGGAGGAGAGTGAGAGAAGAGGGGGAGAGAGAGGAGACGAGAAAAGAGGGGAGAGAGATAGAGAGGAGCGAGAGAGAGGAGAGAGAGAGAGAGAAGATTGGCAGAAGAAAGAGAGGAGAGTGAGAGAGGAGAAGAGAGAGAAAGCGGACTAGAGAGAGAGAGAAGGAGATAGAGAGGAGGAGAGTGAGAACAGGAGAGGAGAGAAAGAGAGAGAGAGAGGAGAAGAGAGAAAAGACTACAGAGAGAGGAAGCAAGAGAGAGAGGAAAAGAGAGGAGGAGCTAGAGGAGTAGAGAAAGGAGGAGAGAGTGAGAAAGAAGAGAGTGAGAGGAGGGAGAGAGAAAGAAGAGAGGAGAGAGAAAGAGAAGAGGGAGAGAGGAGAAGAGTGAGAGGACGAGAGAGTAAGAGAGGAGGAGGATGAGAGAGATGGAAAGAGAAAGGAGGAGAGAGAGGAGGAGAGAGAGAAGAGCAGGTGGAGGTATGAGAGGAGGTTCCGTCTCTTCTTGGCTCCAGAACGTGGATCAGGTCCTGAACTCGTCTGACGTCTGAAAAGTTTTTCAAGAGAAACACGACAGAACCAGAATAAAAGTTTGTCCGCACTTTTTTCATGTCGCTTTTCTTCTTTATTTACAGAATTATTTACACTGTGGACTCTCCCCGGAGCGTGGACGTCTGAAGGGGGGTTCTGCGCGTGGTGGGAGGTTCAGCGGTTACCACGGCGACAGAAAACACAAAAGCGGAGTCCTGCGATATCCAAACAAACAACCGGGGAATTTATACTCGATTATGAACCAAAACTGCCCCGAAATCTGGACGTTCCTCAGACGAGTCCTTTGAAATATTTCAGGTTTTTTTTTCCACAGAATTCTTACACAAGATGAGAAAATAAACTGAAAACTTGACAGGGAAGAGTTTTATTATTTTATTATTTTAAGCTAAATGAGTTGAATAAGTTAAATGGAAAAAATGAAGTAGGTCCAGACAGGTGAACAACAGGTAAAAACAGGTGTGCACTATGAAACCTGTTTAAATATATTTTTACTTTTTTTTTTAAATGAATATAGTTCTCAGAACATGCAGATATCAGATGCTGAATGTAGTTTTTTTTTAATTTATTTTGCACCTGAGCAGGTAAACTCTCATGTTCAGTGAGCTGTTATAAACCTGTAAATGAACTGAATCACATTTAAACATCCAGAAATGAAGAGTTCAGAGTTTAAAGTTTCCAGAGATACAAATATGTCTGTGTTTCAGTAAAGTTCATGAGTGTGAAAATCATTTATAATCACTTATGGAAGTCTGTGTTCTTTTATGCAGTTACGCTCTATGGCAGGGGTCGGGAACCTATGGCTCGCGAGCCAGGTGTGGCTCTTTTGATGATTGGATCTGGCTCACAGGTAAAACATCAAATATTCTCACTTGTTTTAGGCTACGTTTACACATAACCGGGTATTTTGAGAAATGAATATTTCCCTCCCTCCGTTTTCCAAATGAACAGACAGCATCGTTTTCAAAAAAGTTTTCATTTACTTTGTTACGACCCAGCTCGTTTGGGGTGAGGGAAGTAACAAAAATAAAACCAAGATGTAAAATGGAATAAATTAAGTAATGTTTAATTAACAGGAATGTAAAGGTAAATTAACAAAACACTAAAAATATACAGAAAACAACCTAAACTAAGAAACAGAACAACAGAATAAACAGAGTTTTGTGCCAGAAAAGGGGTCACGCAGGCTTACACAAAAACGAGTGGTAAAACTTAGGGACACACACTAAACTAAACACAAGTTCCCCAAATTAAACCACATAAACCCACAAACAGAATCGAGTGACCAAATCAAAAAAGGCACAAAACAGAACTAGACTGACACACAAACACAAAACCAAAATGGCAAACTGGCCACCAAGGCCAGCAGCCCCGAACAGGTGCTGGTCAATCTCCTTAAATAGGGGGAGGTGGCTGCAGGTGAAGTGGGCGTCAACTTGCCCCACCAATCACAGACCAGGACTCCTGCAGCAGGAATCAAGAGACTCTGCAGAAATATTACAACTAAGGCCTGGGGCCGTAACATACATCAACCCACATAAATACGCCATCGAGCGCCGTCACAACTACACCAAGACTCTGGGAGCACCTGGATTAGACTCAAACCTGTAGCATTTATTTCATTACAGTTTTAAGTATTACTCACAAATACCTTGAACAACGTGCATTAGTGAGCGGCTCGCTTCTCCACAGATCTGTTAAAGAAATGGCAAAATCACTGACCTCCGAGTCCTTGTTCATCTCTGGTCATGGATATGATCCATCAGCTGTGTGCAAATGCAGATGAACTGAAGCGCTGGTGGTGTCCAGTGCCTCCACCTGAAGCACTTTCCCCGGGGAAAAAAACCCCCAAAAAAACACGTGTGTGGACGGACCGCTCAGAACAACATATAATGATCCAAACGAGATTCACTCTTCTGTCCGGATCTTTTGCACCACCTTGGAATCAGCTGCGGTCGATTTGCGCACTGGTCTTGCTCGCCCCCGTCTGGACCCAGGGCCTGGAGGATGGAGCCTCCGGACCGATCTGACCAAACACTGGACCCCAGCCCCGTCTTGAGGAGCTGTGACTGCTCCCCGTGTGTTTAGCTGTTGCCCGAACTCAAAGCTTCTGCTCTGAGCTGATGTGCGGTGAGTTTCGTACAAAGTTCTACATGCTGCTGTTTTATGAGTTCGTGGTGATAAGTTGAGATGAGGACGGCCCGCGGTGTTAACAGGGAACATATTCCTTTCGCAATTGGAGGAACATTGGGAACATCGGTCTGACCCTGTCTATCTGTCTATATATATATAGATATAGTTAGATATATAAAGAATATTTATTAAAAGAATAAATTCAGAGCCTTATTATATTCACATTTAGTTAAATTCAGTCTTAAAATATATTAAATGGCTCTCACTGAAATAACATTTCCAAATATTTTGCTTTCATGGCTCTGAGTCAAAAAGGTTCCCGACCCCTGCTCTATGTGGAGCCCTCGTCATATTTATATGGGATGTTCCTAGTCGGCGTCCAACGGGGAAAGAGTTAAAATAGTCTGAAAACTAAACAAAAAATACAAAATGGATTTAAATAACACATTTCCAGGAGGCTGTGGTCAGTCCGAGTGTTCATGGTCGTGTTTTTTAGATTGATTTTCAATAAAATGATGCGAGTGACAAACGACTGTAATCTTTTTTTTTTTTCTGGTCAGATTGTGTTAAAACAAAGCTCAGATTAAAGTCTAGTCAGTAACAGAGCTTCAGATCCGAGCAGTTCCTCCGGTTAGCTCCACATCTCCAGGAAAAGCGTCAGTGTCTGATCGACGTAAACACTCGAGCAGAATCTTTTACAAACATCATTCCAACATCACAATGATCAGACGGTGTTTATTTGCTGTGAGTAACCCGGGCAGTTACGGCGTCTGGAGTCTGTAATGCGCCTCTGATTTGAGTTAATGTGAAATAATGTTCCTCCATAAAGCCCGTGGTTACCGTGACGATGTGGTGGGGGTAATAAAAGGCAGGCTGCAGTTATCATCCCGCTCCTTGTTCATTTGTACCAAACCATTTCCTCTCCCTCCAGTCTTATGTAAGAGCCGCCTTTCTTAATTAAAACTCCACAAATTAAAAAAAAGGAGCAGAAACATTAGGCTCCAGAAACATTAGGCTCCAGAAACAGGCCAATTACAGCGAGATGGAGCGCGGGAAAACACGCCGCCGCTTTACTCCTGACGTATTATCAGACCACATAAGGACAAGTGAGGCTAATTGTTCTGTTTTTACTTTTAAACCATGTTCTACTGTTTTCATTTCAGCTCCTGTATTACGCAAAAAATTACTCTTTTGAGCGTTTTTAAAGAGTGCTGTTACTTCACCAAAAACTAGAGATGTAACAACTGAAATACTGTAATGTAGGGTGACCAAACGTCCGTTTTTCCCCGGACATGCCCGTATTTTGCGTCCTGTCCTGGGCGTACGGATTTTTTTTTTTTTTTTTAAAGTGATGCAAATGTCCGGGTTTTCATGACCGTTCATTGGGGCATTAAACTGAGCGTCTCTCGTAGCGTCTGTGACTCAGAAGGAGCGAGACACAAACAGTCGGTCAGTCTGCAACACGCCAAAACGCAAATGTGCATTTAACGATGACTTGTACAAGAAATTCTCCGTTTTCCGTGAGGTGAGAGTTCAGTGTCCCTCGTTTATCGCGGGGGTTACGTTCTAAAAATAACAGGCGACAGGTGAAATCCACGAAGTATCAACTTTATATTTTACAAATATTATGTCTGTTTTAAGGCTGTAAAACCCCTCAGCACAAACGTTTCTCAGACAGGATCGACAGGTGCAACCCTTTTTACTTCCTTCTTAAAACTTATTGCTGCTGTCGTCCTTTTGTTATTTTCCTCCTTCTTTATGTAACAAACTGAAGATTCATTTATTTCGTAATGGAGCCCAACAGCGCAGAGTCCTGCACGGGTCCATTTTTTGGAGACCCCCAGTACAACACCGCACCTGCCCGTACAGGACCGCACCTGCCCGTTAACCCGAGATTATATCAAACTTTTACTCTGCCTACACCAGGACTAACCCAGAACTGATTCCAGGACTGAAGACGAGGACTAAACCACGACTGAACTAGGACTAAAACAGGACTAAAACAGGACTAAACCAGAACTGAAACAGGACTCACCGTCAGGACGGGTTTGAAGGTGACCACAGGAGAAAGGACCGGCTCAGCTCCGCACCTCACGGAGTTAAACGCGGCAATTGCCCGATCCCCCCCCCCATCCCAAGGTATCCAGGTTTTCACAAACGGAAATATGGTCACTACTGTAATATTATATCATCAAAAGTCACGGACTGTCAAAATACAGCAATATCTAACAATATTTTACAATTATTCCAACTGTTTTAAGTCTGTAAAACCCCTCAGCACAAACTTTATAGAGCTCGTCACACCGGCTCGTCACGCACTAGGTGTCACCATTTTGGCAGTAATCGGCAGATCGGCTGAGTCTCGCTGTACGACTCCAGCGCAATAGGCGACTTTCAGCTGACGTCATTGTTCTTAAAAGCCCGAAGCCCTTGAGCACGAAAGACTGGAGCAGCCCGTCCGGACCTGTAGTCCACAGCACATTCTCGCTTTTCCCGCACAGACGATGACACGGAACCGCTCGGACTCAGTCCATCGAGCACTGGTCTTGCTCGCCCCCGTCTGGAACCAGCACATGGAGGACGGAGCCTCTGGACCATCTGACCAACGCGCTCGGAGAACCAGACCAAGGACCAGAGCCCAGCCCCGTCCTGAGGGTCTGAGCTGTGGTGAGTTCCTCTTTATCGCTGTTGCTGCTGTTTCCCGACCTCAGATCTTCTGCTCCGGGCTGATGCGGTGAGTTTGTACAAAGTTCTACACGTTGCTGTTTTATGAGTTCATGATGACACTTGAGATGAGGACGGCCCGAGGTCTTAACAGGAACATCGGTGTTGATAATTAGAGGTGTCGCTGTTCTACCGGGAAACAGAGGCACGACAATCAAACCAGTTTTGTTTTCTTGCCGGTGTCCTGCAGATCTTCTTCAGCGGAAATATTTTTTAAAAAGCACCCGGGGGCATTATACGGGTCGGTAATGTTTAATCGATTTAAGTTTTTGATATAAAGCTCCATGTCTTGTGATTTAAAGTGAGCTGAGTCTCTGATGGCTTGAAAGCTTCGGCGGTGGCGCTATCCATTTTTACTGCCAAAATGGCGGCGCGCCCACCGTGAATCATGTGGGATCCAGAGCTCTATACACTTTTCTCTGACAGGACAGTTAGGCTGCGTTCAGACTGCAGCCTGAAGTGATCCAAATCCGATTTTTTGGCTTCTATGTGACCTGTATCCGATCTTTTAATGACACAGATGGCACAGATCAGATTTTTTCAAATGTGACTCAGGACACTTGGATATGTGCTCCTGAAACCGATACATATCTGATCTTTTGACATGCGACTTCAGTCTGAACGGCCAAAGCACATTCACCTACAAGTTATCAACATGACACAAACGTCACTATTCTGCGCTGAAGTCGGCGAAAATTGTTAATGAACTCCGTGTCACTGAAGTGAAGCACATCACCACTCACCACTCTTGGCTCCGTCTCCACATCCACACGTTCCTTTCAACGGACGTCGCTGCCGCTGCCCCACAAAACACCACGACCAAAAACCTCGTCCTTCTCCTTCTCAGTCTCCTCCTTAAAACAAGTATGTTGTTCAAGTTCTGGCTCTGGTACAAAAGAAACTTTAAAATCTCCAGGTGCTCGATGTTTGGACAACTTCCGTAAACCTCGCTGCGGTTGACGTCATTGTGTCT